CAATCGAACAAGATACTGAAGTCGAAAATCGAAGCATTATTTCGACTACTTATCGTGTACACAGACACAAAAAAAAAAAAATAAAAAAAAAAACACACATCATTGTAAAATCAATACATTCATCGTTCCACTCAGAATCTAAAATCAAAATTTATTATGTCCGTAAACAGCTCAAAATATTTTGAATATTTTATGGTGTATATAGAAAATGAATGCTAATATAAATGTTCAGTGAACATTTCATGTAGGTATCTACGGTAATTTGTTTTAGAGTTATACGCAAATACCGTACAATCCGATTTTGTTTAAAAAAATCACGTTTTTCCTCTATTTTTATGTCGTGTTTTATCCCGGCATTTTTGAAATATTTGGGAATTTTAAATTTTGACCTCCCTAATGCACCAACTTGATTTACTTTCCCATCAAACAAGATACTGTTGAAGAAAATCGAATATTATTAATTTTTTTTTTTGTCTGTCATTAGTAAAAATGCTTAGATTTTCTTCAATAGTATCTTTTCTGATAGGAAAGTGAATTGCAGGTATTCAGATTTCAGCTTGGTATTTTAGGGGATCCAAAGTAAAAAATAAAGTTAAAATAGTTTTCGAAAGGAAAAAAATAAAATAAATTCAAAATAGCCAATTTGTGAACCTGATTATAAGAACGATTTGGATGGTAAAAACATTTATCTAAGTCAAGTAGTTTATTTTTTAAAATATCAATATTTTTTTGATTAAATTAATTTGGAGCCCAATAATTTTTTTAAAAATATTATTTTTGGAAATGTGCTAACATGGGTAACGTACCATATCTTAAACTATATACTACTTCATATAATTTGTATTTTTAAATTTTTAATCATAAAATTTTTTTTTAATTTTTATTGGGAAACAAAAATATATACAATCTGTAATAATTTATACAATAGGTAATATATGGGGGGGTACAAGTAATACTTACAAGTTACAATACAAGACGGGACGGCATGATAGAAAGGGGGGGTCCACTTCAAAATCCAAGCAGGTTTTTAAATCTTAACATTTAACAAATTAAAACTACAAATAAAATTGAGTAAGCAGGTTCCGCTCTGCTGTATCATATATAGGTGCAGTCTACTGTCTACTGTCTCAGGCGCGGATTCAGGGGGCCGGGGGGCTACGGGTGCTCGGGCACCCCTGACTTCTAAGGCACTTTAATCCATTAATAAAATACATTTGTATTCAAAATTCTAAAATAGAAAGGTATAACCATTTTCTTTTTAAATTCTGAGAGGAGTGATGCGTGGCCGATGATGTGTTTTTATATATTATTAATTTTTAATTTTTTTTGTTTTTGTCATCACAGTATTTTGGGTAGTACAACTGCTTCGATTTTCTTCAACAGTATAGGTACCTATCTCGATCGATGGGAAAGTGATAGTGAATATAGTTGATTCATTCAGAAGGTCCAAATTTAAAATTCCAATAGTTTTAAAATCGCCTAGAATAACAAAATAAAAGTTAAGGAAAAACGGGAATTTTTAAGCAAAATCAGTTTTTGACAAAATCAATTTTGGTTTTTGGTGTAACTCTAAAAAAAATAACCGTAGATACATGAAATGTTCACTGAATGTTCATATTAGCATTAATTTCTGTACACGATAAAATTCACACGATCAAAATATTTTTTCTTGTTTTGAGCTGTTTACGGACATAATACATTTTCAGTGTTTTTAGTTTTTTTTCTATAATATGGCCAATAAAATTTTATTTTTTGGGTAAAAAAGCTTGGAAATTTAATACAAGGTTCTTAATATATTGTTACAATGACATTTGAAAAATATTAAATATACAGTCACAATTTTTTCTTATAAGCATTTAAAGTTCAAATTTTGACAAAATACGTAAAAATCACGAAAATGTGCAATTATTTTTGAGTTAGAAATACATAACAATTTTATTTTTAAATCTAACATTTGAAAATTTTATACAAGATTCCTCATAAGTACCTATGTCTACCTTAATCAAAAAAAAATTTTAACCGGAAAGTCAAATTAAATTTTGACATCGTTGGTTAATCAGTATTCTCTCGATTTCTTATATGAAGGCATGTAGTGATTTTTTTTATTTTTTTGTAATTCAAACACAAATAACGGTAGATACTTGAATTTTACACCATATAACAACTTATCAATTTCCACACTTGATAAAATGTACAAAATATTTTGATCTGTTTTAAGCCGTTTACGGACATTTTAAATTTTTTTAGTTTTTTTTTCTTTAATAATTAAAGACAATTATTGTCAATGAAATGTAATTTGTTGGGCCAAAAAGCGTCAACATTTAATACAAGGCTCCTCCTATATTTTTACTTTACTAGTTCAAAAATTTTTAAAAGAATTTTGACAAAATGTGTCTGTCTGTCTAATTTTGAACTTTAAAATTATTTTGTAGTTAAAAATGTATAAAAATGTTTAGCTTTTATAGCTAAGGATTGACAATTAAAAACAAAGTTCCGCCTAAATAGGTAAATAAATTACTTTATTCACAAAAATATCATCAAATATACTTCGTAATATTTATAGCTTGACTGACTGTCTTAAGACAAAGAGAATTCGCTCAGAATAGTTTTTCTTATACAATAATATTGTATCATTGAATTCAAATTTAAAACTATTCATTACAGACTATATAGTGATCAAATTGTAAGTTGTAACCTATGTACAGCAGAGAGACACCCACTTTCCCACCTTTTTTTGTTTGAGCACCCCCAGTTAAAAGGAGTCTTCTGGATCCGCGCCTGTACTGTCTAGATAAGTACCTACCTAATTGTAATTAATGTGTTAAATTTGAATTCAATGATATACAACTCATTACTCACTTATTAAATTACCAACCATAAAAAACCAACGAGAAAATACAGATAATGTTGTTAGGTACCTACTCAAAAGTTTTTATTTATTTAATTTTAAATATTAAATCAAGAGTAAGATGCTTGCGTTATAATATATTGCTTTTAAATTTTAATACAACCATGGAAATTATGACAATTCCTATATTATATAAAGCAATGTAGGTATATCAATTCTTTCCGTTTTTTTTAACTATCATAATTTCCGGTATTTAACATGATATTGTTATATATTTTTAATTTTATACTATAGGTATTTCCTATCAATCGGCTAAATACTATTAGGTCTGACAATTGACCGTCGACTCACATGGTCATATCATATTAAAATTAAAAGGCTAGCCCTAAATGCACGACTCCGCATCCTCAAAACTCTAATTACCTACCAAAAACAAACACACTCTATTAAATACTAAACTCTTAATTTATAAATCCTTGTTTAAGCCTATGTGGACCTATGGTCTTCAACTCTGGGGCAATGCCAAAAAATCTAACACTAATAAAATTCAAACCTTCCAAAATAACATCCTTCGTAAAATCACAAACTTTCCTCCATATATTTCAAACCTAACTTTACACACCGATCTAAAAATTAAAACAGTCCACGAAGAAGCAGTAACCTTTTACAAACGTATCCACTCAAAACTCCCTTCTCATACCAACCCCCTCATTTCAAACCTTGCCACATTCACAATTCCTGGGAACCCTCCTAGGAGGCTCAGAAGAAAATGGTGTCGAGATCTTCTCAATGAGTAACACACAATAATGAGCAAACATTATAGAAAAAAATATATCAAGTAAGGGTAGTGTAACCACTGGGTGACTCCTCCCATCACATTTTCATGTTATAAACTTTTTTTAAAATATCACATATTCTTATTGTTTCTAAAAGAACAGATTGTATATACCTTATAAATAAAAAAAATAAAAAAAAATACTAGTTATATATTTCTGTTTAGTACCTAGTTAAACTACTGTTACTAAGGAACATATATTATTAATACACAAATGTAAATTCCAAATACCTACAGATATTTACAATTTTATAATAGTTACACAATTTTAATTTAAAAAATGAACAATAATAATGATAGTAATTATACGTGTAAAATTAAAAACAATGCTCCAGCAAAGACAGAAATAAACAATTTACATAAGGAGTAAGTGTACTAAATCAATAATGAGATTTAATCTTATTTAATTTATTTATTTACAAATTAACAAATGAGGAATCAAACAATTTATAATTTTAAATGTATTATAATACATCGTATCCGCATTCGCATGTAATGTCCATATCGATAATCTTACAAACGGAAATGAATAAATTTCAAATAACCAAATTTGTGTTGGGCTGTATACAACAGTCTTAAATAGGTTTTTTTTTAGTAGTGTTAGATCGAAGCCCTACCCCTCCAATCACATTAATCATCACAAATGTTAGCCCCCCCCCTACGACATGTCCTAAATAATAATCTTACCTTTAAATACCTTTATCTTACCTTTAATTTAAAATTAAAATTTAGTCAAAATTCATTAAAATCACAAAAATATGAACATTATTTTGTAGTTAGTTCAAAAATTATAAAAATTTTAATTTTTATAGCTAAGGATTGAACAATGTAAGTAGTTCATACTTCAATACAAATCTAAAATATATATAAGCACAGTTTTGTTTGTATAGATATTTTAAGTTCATATTATAGGTAGGTACCTATTTAAACAAAGAATAACAGTTTTAGTTATTTTGTTCTAATTTAAAAATATAATTCATGGGTACATGAAACTTGTGATCAACATTTCAAGTTTAAGGCTTAAATGCTGAAAACTTTAAGCTGAATATAATTTTCCAGCGTTTAAATAATTACAATTCATCATGGTCTAAAAATTCTTTGAACTCATATCTCATTATATATATTATTTAACCTTTTCATTAGTTAGTACGGTTTTTTTTATAATGCTAATATTATGCTATTCTTTAGCACTGTGCTTAAGATATAATATTATTTAACATAAAACAAATTATTAATAGCTAAGTTTAAAAATTCTTAGCCCTAAATTACTTAAAAAAATCTCTAAATGTGCTTGTCAAGTGTGCAAAGAGCACACTAATGTTCAGTTTAACCTCTGAAATATGTGATTCAGCTAACACAAATACTTTTAGTAATATACAAGAAATACAACCCAAAACTTGCCAAGAATTGTGGAGAAGGTGTGAAGTATTGTGTTCGTCAATTAACCCATTGGAGAGAATGAAGTATCAAGAAAATGGATGTTGTCGCATGTCACCTGTACCTACTACAGATGATTTTAAACCATTATTTGAGCCATTGTTTTCCAGGAGAACAACATTTGCATTTTATAAAGAAGTATTCCATGTGGTAATAAAGCTTAATGACTAAAAAAATCATAATTATTATATTACTATATTTATTTAGGACCAAAGATGTACGTGTATGAAATTCAATGGTATTGAAGAAGAATGTAAACATCCAGAATGCAAACAGAATGTGAAATGCTTAAGCTTACCATTATAGCAACATGTTCACCAGCTGAAAATTGGAAAAAATACTACGGACAAACTTCATAATTTTGTATACACTAATTGAAACAATATTTATTATAAAATTACTTTATTCTATAATTATGATTACTGTATAATATAATTACATAATAATAGTATAATCATATAATAATTATTGTTCGATCTGTGTATAAATATATTTATATTATTATATAACATAGGTAAGAGGTACCTATTACAATATGTATATTATGTACTATCATAATTTATACAAAAATATGTAGAAACAGAACTACCGTCGACCAGCAAATAACAATGAGATCGTGTATGCTAATTATTTCTTAAATTATATAGCCTATCGTTCTACCAACGACTACTGGATGCTTCATAATATAAATATATAATTGGACTTATTGACAATGTTTTCATTGAACATAAGTTGTAACTTGGAACATAAGTTAGTTTATTCAATTAAAAGAAAAATCACGTAAATAAGCATGTAAAAATATTAAAATTAAATTTCATATTGAAATGTTGCATTCAAAAACTTTAAAATTGCCTCAAAAAAGGTTCTAAAAAATGAAAATAATACTTTTTTTTTTATCATTTTATTTTAAAAATTATATATTTACAATCTATACTTACAACAAACAAGGTATAACGTTAGGCTAATAACCTTGTAGTTGATGCCTTTAAAATTTAAAAAAAAAAAAACAAGGTATAATGAGTAAGTGTGGTGACATAAGAACATTAGATATAAAATAACATTAATAGGAAGGCTCCCAGCAGTGCAAACTGACTAGAAATTATAAAATAATACTTAAAAATTATAAATTGTCAAAAAATTTAAATTAAAACTTCTTAGACTGATTCAAAAATATACTATACGTATATTGTATATATATTATAACATGCAGAGCATCGCTTGGCTAGATTCGGAAAACAATTCAAAGAACTCCTCAACTCCAGTACCCCAAGTACTATATTGTTGGGAACAAATGCACTTTACCAACCCCCTGAGGATTTTCAATTTTTTTTTTTTCAAACGATTTGTTTTTTTATGCTTAAAACACGATGGTGTGCATTTTTTTTCCGGAAACTATTATTTTAGAAGTTATAGCTTCCCAAAGTTTGCAATTTTATGTTTATACCTACATGCGCGCAACACCACTATAATGCCTCGAGATTTCTATACTAAAAGTTACAAGTCCGTATGCACAGTCAATTTGTGTTTTCACGCCTTGACCTGTTTACATAATACATAAGTATATAGTGGCAATCTTCGCATGCCGGCTCCGATCGCCGGTTTTACATAACAAGTCGAGACTCGAGGGATGTTTTCATTTTATTTGTCCAAGCGAGCATAGCTGGGTGTACCTATATATATGATAATACCATAAATTTAAATTAGTTTAGTTATAACTTCAAAATAAGTGTGACTAACAAATTCAGACCAACAAGATTAAATTTGATGAATTGGGTAAAAAAGTTTTAAATTTTAATGAAAAATTTATTGTAACAATATAGCAGTTGAAAAATATTAAAAATGCATAGGCATAATTTTTTTATAAGCATTTAAGGGGTATGAATAGTATTGAAAAAATCTATGAATATGTACTTTTGTATTTCTAATAATATGGTTTATTGAGTGGTTTGAGAGTAATCAAAATGTCCACCTCTAGTGAATTTGTTAAAGAAATAATCATGATAAATGTTGTTGAAAGCGTTAATACATGGGTGATGCGAACGGAGGATGAACCTGCAGTGACGCTAGAAGTGAAAGCTTTAGTACCAAAACGCGATGACAACCAGGAGACGAAGAAGACGCTATACTTAGCAACATAATATGGCTATTTGGGGAACAGGATACGGTTGACGAGGGCATACAGGCCTGTATATGCCCAGGAAGGCAGAGCCACAGTGGCGCCGAACTATTTTTTTTTAGGTGTGGCAATGAACAGTGTTGGGTAGTAACGTAAAGAAAGTTACGCGTTACTGTAACGGCCAGTGCCGCAACTACCGGGGGTGCAGGGGGTGCATTGCACCCCCAGTAGAAAATTTAGAGGGCCCCGAAGGGGCCCTCGATAATTGAAAAATACTTAGAATTATTACATAGAAAATTAGAAACTAATATAGATAATAAAGGGTGTCTATGAATAAAATATATATTATGTTCTGTTGAAACAAACATGTTACCAGTTAAAGCAGAAATTTTAAAAAAAAATGCAATCTTTTGAGTTTGTTTTGCTTATAATTATTTGGGAAAATGTTTTGAAACCATTATCTGTGGTATCCAAGATGTTACAGTGCTCACAAACCAGTATCTATCAAGCCAGTGAGTTTTTGCAAATTGGTATTAATTCAATTAAAAATATGAGACATAATTATAAAGAACTGGTAGAATCAGCAAAAAATATGTGTTTAAAATGGGGAATACAATTTCAGAATGAAAATAAACGAAAAATTTATTCTAAAAAACTATTTGGTGAAGTTGATGGTGACAGGAGATTGGATATTACAGAGGAAAAATTTTATGTTTCAGTATTTTTACCATTAGTTGATACTGCTTTATTTCAACTCGAAGATCGTTTTAAAGGACTTAAAATAGTATCAAATACTTTTAATTTTTTATTGCCACCAAATATAATAAAATTAAATGAAGCAGAAATAGTAAAATCATGCTATGATTTTATTCAGTTTTACAAAACTGACGTAACTTCCGATTTAACTAGTCAAGTTCTATCTTTAAAGGAGTTTATAAAAAACACTGATAAGAAAACAATTAAAGAATTATGTTTATATTTAATAGAAAATGGCCTATCATCTTTGTATAGTGAAGTTGTTACATCTTGTATTATATTTTTAAGTTTACCAGTAACTGTTGCAACGGCCGAACGATCATTTTCTAAACTTAAATTGATTAAAAACTATTTAAGAAACTCGATATCTCAAGACCAATTAACCAACATAAGTATCTTAAATATAGGAAGAGCTCGCACTGAAGAACTTGATGTAGAAAAATTAATTTTAGACTGCCAATCAAAAAAGCAGAAAAAAAAATTTTTTAAAGTAATTTTAATATTATAAATATGTAATTTTTTTATAATTTTAAATGTATTTACTATTTTGTATAATAGACAATAGTGTAAATAAGCAAATATATGTATTATGTATAATATGTAAACATATGAAAAACATAAATATTTAATTTTTTTATTATAATTTTAAACGTACCTATATATCAACCATTTTTATCTAGTATAAATTTGTATTTTTTTAGTTAAAAAGAAATTTAAATGGTGATGGATACTTAACGTTTACAAATATATTTTTCATGAAAATATTTCGTAAAATTTTGGAAAGTAAGGGGCCCTATTATTTGGTTTGGCACCCCGGCCCTAATAACCTTAGTTGCGGCACTGGTAACGGCGTTACTTTGCTTGTAACGCGCTACGTAATTTCATTAGAATTATTTCCAAGTAACGAAAATGTAATGTAAATTACTTTTGAAAAGTAATTTCTATAGAATCCTAACGCGTTACAGTTTCGAATTATTAAGTACCTATACCTTACCAATTCGAATTGAAAAAATAATATATGTATAATGCGGGTATTATTATGTTTAACAATCTAATATGTATATATATTTAATTTTAACTCGCCACAATTCAGTTTTCAATGGTTTTGACATTTGAAATGTCTAATTGCACCGTACAAATCATGAAAACAGTTAATTCAATTTATTATTTATTTTGATTCCTTTATAAATAGGTTTCCTATGAATAGTTTGTGTAGAAGACTAAGTTTTATACGAAGTTTATAAAAAAATTAGCTTGTTCAGTTTGCCTGCAGATGATATTTGCCAAGAAAGTTAAATTTTTTTTTTTGTAACGAGAAAGTAATGAGTTACTTTTCTATTCGAAAAGTAAAGTAATTTCATTACAATTTTAGTTGAGTAACGAGTAAAGCAACTTATTTATATTTATCTCTTAGTAACGAGTAAAGGAACTTAATTATTTTTTAAAGGTAACTTACCAACACTGACAATGAACAATTACTTATAGCCACCTACGCCCATTGGATATTGCCATATTGGCTATTACAACTAAGTCGTGGGGGCAACCCCCGCCCCACCAATTTTTAATTTAAAAAATATTTTCACATGTTATAATATTTATGTCTACATTATAGTATTATTTAATATTTTAACATATTACAGTTAGGATCATCTCCAGTAAAACCCTCCTCAAAATGAAAACCAAGTTTTTATCATCTGAAAACAATATTCACAGTCACTGATTTAGTTATTTAAGCTCTTAGCTAGGTAGGTATATCCATATATGTATATTATTTGGTTAATGGTTTGCATAATATTATTTTTAGTATAATACTTATATTAAGTGAAAATATTAATAATTGCTTTAGTTGCAATGCCAATATCATTTTCACCTGATACTTATATATTTCTATTTATATAATAGTATAATATAGGTAAATATAGCTATCTAGATGATATTATATATTTATATTGCAGCTATTTAAGTAATTAATTTTACTAATAGTAAAATATTGCATTATAAAATTTCATTGTATGTTTAAAATATAATAATATAAGTAAAAGTTATAAGTCACCACGAATAATGTTTTTGAATTGTAACGAAATAATGAACATCGTTAATCTTTGTCTAATTTCGTCCAAGTTTCAACTTAAAATTACTATAAAAAAAACTGTGCTTATATATTTTTTAGATTTTTTGCTAACAGTATTGAGAAATATCGTTTTAAATTTCCGATCTTTAGCTATAAGAATTGAACATTATATATAAATTTTTAACCAAAATAAAATTTGCAAATGTTCGCGGTATTGACTAATTTTGTAAAAGTCTGTACTTAAAATGCTTACAAAAAAAATAATAATCGTACATAATGTATCTTCATTATTTAAAAATTGCTATTATAACAACTTATGAGGAACCTTGTATTAATTGTTTAAGCTTTTAGACCTGGAGAAAATTGATTGATTTTTTTTTCAAAATTTCAAATGTCTCTAAATAGGTCAAAAAGAGTCAAACAAAATATCAAAAATCATTTGAGGAGAAATTATTAACTTACTGTTGAATATCCATCGTAACAAAAATTAATTTCAAATGCTTAAGCGAAATGATTCCAGTGTTGGGAATAAATAACTAAAATAATATCTAGATAAAGATTTTTAAAATAAAATATCTTAAAATTGTATTCAGTAATAAATTAAAATATATTGTAACACAAATATTGGTTTGGTTACAAGAACACAAGAGAATTACAAAGACAGTTACTAGTCGCGTTGACTCGCTGTATTTTGTTTTGATAATCAGATCCTAAAGGCTAAAATATAAACTCTGAAGTATATCGATATTTAATGGATAATGGATACTGTCTGTATAATAGTGATATAATTGACATCGGGCATCACGCGAACACTGCAGTGGGGTGTCAACCAACACCACCAACAACCTACCACCGATTTAAATCATCTTACAAATTACAACAAATACATTTCATCACTACTTAAACTAGACGATCATTTTTTTAATAATTTAAAAATTTGATCATTGCTATTGTCAATTTAGATTTAATTTGAGAAAAATATATCAATTAATCTCAAATTATTATATACTATTATACATTTTACTACATTTATAACGAATACTATTAATTTAAAGAAACATAAAGTATTTATTTTTTTTGACATTGCTGACCAGCAGATAAAAAGGTGCAAATTCTATTTTCATCGCAGCCAATTGAAGTCCTTGGGTAAATAATTAGGTTAAGTCAGGAGGCTTTAAAGCATCATTTTTTTTAAGACTTCAAACTGCATAGTTATTAGCTAGTTTTTACTGTGGACAATATTCTACACCATTATTCTTAACTTGCAATTCACTATGTCATGCGAGTAGTTCAAAAATAAATAATAAAATGAACTTCATTTTTTTGACACTCCGCAACGGCGGCTACGGTTGGTACGCTACGCGATTTTTATGTGAGACAGATAGATCGTCACAAAAAAACCCTGGTGCCTCGTGGTCACCCATCTGGGAGTCTGCTCGATCTCAACACACATTATATTAGTGACTGCGTCCAATCACCGCGATTCGCCAGCTAGGTCACCATACAATGAACTCTAATACCAGAAAAGTTAAATTGTATATTATATGTTTATATATTTACCAGTTTAAATTCTTGCCAAATGTATTATATAATATAAAATGTAACATATCAACCAATTGTATACAATATTACAATCCTTAATATTGCAATAGTACTGATAGTAGTAATATATATAATGGTATACTCAGATTAGTGAAAAATGTAATAATTTGTTGATCGTTGCCACATCGATAAAATCAAATATTTACCTAAGTAACTTGATCGTCATATTTAAAAGGTGATTTTGAAAGGCTTTAATATAGATACTTGTATATTTTAAAAATTAAGGTTTCGGAAATATACCTAGTAAAAATATATGGAACTAGGTACGTTATGTTATTTGGTATTAGCAAGACTTAAACAGTTAACCTAACTATTAATTGATCATAGAAATAATAAACTAGGTATAGGATCAATGGATCATAGTCAAATACAATTTTAATGTTTAGAAAACCATGTAAACATTCAAATTAATATTTATGTATATTCTTATAACGTATCTACTATACAGAGTGTGACAGTATATATGGAAAAAAAATTAAATTAAATATGTCCATTTATGTATATGTTCATTATTATCCAATATTTGTTAGGGATCAAATGCGTACCGGTTATTAGGTATTTTTTCATTGCTCAACATTTAAAAAAAACCCAAAATATATAGATCTATTAGAAATTTGATAAAAGTATACAAATAGACAATAGTGCCTACCTATTTATTATAATAATTAAAAAATATAAAATGTATCATAAAAGGATAATGAACGGATTGCTGAATCAAAAAACTGGAAAATTTACCCATAGACCACAAGTCATTTCATATTAGAAGTTCAAAAGTAATGAACATATAAAAATTAAAGGCACACATTTTTTATAAGCATTTTAAATTCAAACTTTGACTAAATCCATCATAATCGCGAACATTATCAAATTATTTTGTATTTAAAAATGTATATAATGTTCAATTTTTATAGCTAAGAACTAAAAGTCCCCCCCAAGCCCCCCACCATTTCCACCTATGCACGTATACATTATAAACATATAATATAACGAGCCCATGGCTGATGGGCCTTTCGCTGATAAATTATTTAACTAAAAGCTGTTTTTGAATAAATCTGGCTTATCAAATCCATCCTAGGTGCACCTATAAATTGTATAATTAATTTTAATTAATGCAATCTAAACTACGACCTGCAGCCACATCTTAATTGGTTGACGAAATATTACTTCACGCGTAAAACGTAGCACGCCAAGTACTGTGTTGGCAGCTATTTTAAGTCGAGGAAAAATAATTAAATTTATTGAAAACATTACTTTGCTTTACTTTAATTTAAACACTATCTACAAATACCAAACTTAAAAAAAAGTTAAATGCTTATTGGAAAAAATATAAATAAACTAATTCTATTCGATTAAACAGCGTATATATATATATACAATCGTCGTCAACAAATAACAATACTAGCCAACACAGCATAATATCAATGTTCAATGCGACATAGTGTTTACTGTTTATACGTCATGATAATATTATAATAATAATAATGGGGGACGGAGTGGCCGAGCGGATTAAGAAGGAGTCGGTTGTGACGCACACTGACGCCGGTTCGATGCCGGCCGCTGGTGGCATTTTTCTTCGGGCAAGTCACGGTGTCTGGAGAAAAGTGGCACCATCTCCACCCGGGCATGGCAGATATACCTACGGGTGCCCACTAAAAAATCGGACAAAACCAAAAAAAAACACGTATACATAACTTACAGTGCCCTCCCCCACAGTAAAAACCACCCAATGGCCCATTTTAAAGTTATAAGAAATGTGTGTTTTATTCTTTTTACCCCAAAAATCAGGTGAGTACCTTGTAAGATATGTTTTCCTAATCCCAATTTTATGAGCTTTT